CAGTAAATTTCCTATGGCCGTAATAACTTTCAAATACTATGGCATTGTACACAAATCAAATAATGCAACAAAAACAGGAGTGAAGCGTTAGAGCTTGATTCAACTGCAAATGTAGTCATATGAACGCTCCCCTCTTCTCCGAACGTTTTGCTGTAAAGCTGGGGTTAATAAGAAATTATTCGGGAATGTTCCCCTTTTAACGCTTCAATAATCCTTTTCAAACAACCTCTGCATCAAAGCTTGTTCGAAAGCCAGTTTAGGGTGGATTCATATGAAGAAACTATTGGCTAAATGACAAAAGCTGATTTTCATCCATTTAATTGAAATAATCTAAACCAACCATTTGCGGAAGTCAATTTTTGTGTTATATGCAATTTCCATTGTAAATTTGGAAAGCATCGGATGAAAAATCATGGAGTTATGTTCGAAAGTCGGGCTTTTTGAACAGTTTGACGTGGTTTTTCGTTATACGAGTGAAGAAAATGTTGACCATATTTGCCGTAGTCTGTGAATATGGAATCCAGTGAAGTCCGTAATGTGTTCAATATCAGAGTTTGGCAGTGAAGATTCAGAGAAAGTAGCGGCTGTTAAGTAATTCTTGAAGTCTTCGATATCAGGTTGGCAGTGACGATATTTTGGGAGAAAAAACAAAATGGCTGCCTTTATACACGCCGGATTGAATATTTTGAGCTTTCTGATTGGTTAACCCTTCTATTGGTGAACTATAAAATGAGTCAGCTCATTTTGACTGGCTCACTAGTACAAATATATCCAAAAAACTGCAACGCCCCCTCATTTTTGGGTATATTATGGAATCTTCTTTCAAAATATTATTAAAGTCAATATTCATATGAAACAAATACTTTAATGTTCAGAAATTTTTTTTTATTTACTGTTTTTCTTTTTTTTTTTAGCATTCATACAATCATATTTTTTTATTAGTATTCATAAAATAAGCAATTTTTCTTTTTTTTTTTTTGATATTCATAAAAAATTATTTTCTTAAAGAAAATTAATATCCGTAAAAATTAGTTATATCATTTTGTCCACAGTTTAGTACTTCAGGTTAATAAAAATTAACAACAATATTATAAATTTGGGTTGTGATCACCTCAGAAAAGTGGAAAAAAGTTGTTATTTTACCCATAGCTGGGACCCATTAAAACTCACTATCACTCCGGTTCAGAGTTATCCTGAGAGTCATTCAAAGGAGGATTGAGCTAAAAGTCGGACTATTTACATTTATACCCCGAAACTAAGGACTCACATTCATACTTAAGACAATAACTAATGGATGCAGTTTTACGTCCTACCCAGGACTAATAAGGACCTTAGAGAGACTTAATGGATGCAGTTTTACGTCTTGCCCAGGACTAATAAGGACCTTAGAGAGACTTAATGGATGCAGTTTTACGTCTTGCCCAGGACTAATAAGGACCTTAGAGAGACTTAATGGATGCAGTTTTACGTCTTGCCCAGGACTAATAAGGACCTTAGAGAGACTTAATGGATGCAGTTTTACGTCTTGCCCAGGACTAATAAGGACCTTAGAGATCAGTACCAAATATGACAGGAATGAAAGACCCTAATTTCAATTTTGTAATTGGCTTTGTAAATAAATCCGACACGTTATTTTCTGATTGAACATATTCAATTTGTACTGTTTTCTTTTATACCAGATCCCTTACAAATTGATATTTAATATCGATATGCTTTAATCTTTGATGTATTATTGGATTTCTAGCCAAAGCAATACTGGCCTGATTGTCGCAGTAAATAATTACAGAAAATAGGATAAAAAATGAGTAAGTTTTTATTTTAAGTAGTACGAAAAGTCCGACTTTTTCACAGATTTTGCATTTATTTTTGTGAAACCAATGTCGCAGGAAAACTATCATGCACTCCACATAAATCTTGCAACATGAGCTGATGTTTTGCATTAAGTACAAAGAAAATCAGCTCATCCAGTAAATATTGTGTTCAAGTGTAAATTTGCCTTGGTTTTTGCAAAAACTCGTACACACCTTCAGTTTTATCAATTTTTCTGCCAAACCCGTGGTACCAGGAGATTGAAACGTTGGTCTTGACGTAATTAAGTAAATGTGCAACATGTCTGTCGAATGTCATCGAAATCGGTCGAGAAATGTGGATGTGCATAAATAGCGTATACACAGACATACACACAGAAACACACACAGATATGTTTTATATATATATATATATATATATATATATATATATATATATATATATATATATATATATATATATATAAGTATAGATTGGTGTATACGGAATAAATTCCAATAACCAACAATTACTATTCTTAAAAGAGTGCTCAATACATAGAATAGCAGATATAATTATCTATCTACAAATTATAACATAATTTTTAAATAAATAATTATATATATATATATATATATATATATATATATATATATATATATATATATATATATATATATACGTGTTTTTGCGTGAGCGTAAGTGCATGTGTGTATGCGTGTGTGTTTAGGCAACATATTCTTATCCGGGCATATCTGATTGAATATCTTACAAACGTTATGTCTGCTCATTTTGGTCATAATCCTTTTTTTATTCACGAATATTTTTTCCTATATATTACAATTAATTGGGACAAAAAATGCACTGTAACAGAGATAAACACTTTTATTATTTTAGGTACTTTCCTTCTTTTTCTGAGATCATCATCAGGGTTGTAATTGGTAAGGCAAAACTAGGTGTATCTATCCATTACTGATTTTTTCCCTTTGCGTTTAAGTTATACCTGACAGTTATACATGCTTTCATGTCTCAGACACCCCATGCCATATACAACCATTACTTACTTTTATAGTTCAGACACGCCATGCCATATACAACCACTCCTTACTTCCATAGCTCAGACACCCCATGCCATACACAACCATTCCTTACTTTCATGGCTCAGACACCCCATGCCATATATAACCACTCCTTACTTTCACGGCTCAGACACCCCATGCCATATAAAAAAAAACTCCTTACTTCCATAGCTCAGACACCCAATGTCATGGATAACCACACCTTACCTTCATGGCTCAGACACTCCATGCCATATACAACCATTACTTACTTTCATAGTTCAGACACTCCATGCGATACGCAATCATTCCTTACTTTCATGGTTCAGACACCCCATGCCATATACAACCACTCCTTACTTCCATAGCTCAGACACCCCATGCCATACACAACCATTCCTTACTTTCATGGCTCAGACACCCCATGCCATATATAACCACTCCTTACTTTCACGGCTCAGACACCCCATGCCATATAAAAAGCCTCCTTACTTCCATAGCTCAGACACCCAATGTCATGGATAACCACTCCTAACCTTCATGGCTCAGACACCCCATGCCATATACAACCACTTCTTACTTCCATAGCTCAGACACACCATGCCATACACAATCATTCCTTACTTTTCATGGTTCAGACATCCCATGCCATATAATAACTCACTTCCTTATTTCCATAGCTCAGACACTCCATGCCATACATAACCACTCCTTACTTTCACGGCTCAGACACCCCATGCCATATAAAAAAAAAAACTCCTTACTTCCATAGCTCAGACACCCAATGTCATAGATAACCACTCCTTACCTTCATGGCTCAGACACTCCATGCCATATACAACCATTACTTACTTTCATAGTTCAGACACTCCATGCGATACGCAATCATTCCTTACTTTCATGGTTCAGACACCCCATGCCATATATAACCACTCCTTACTTCCATAGCTCAGACACCCCATGTCATAGATAACCACTCCTTACTTTCACGGCTCAGACACCCCATGCCATATAAAAAGCCTCCTTACTTCCATAGCTCAGACACCCAATGTCATGGATAACCACTCCTAACCTTCATGGCTCAGACACCCCATGCCATATACAACCACTTCTTACTTCCATAGCTCAGACACCCCATGCCATACACAATCATTCCTTACTTTCATGGTTCAGACACCCCATGCCATATATAACCACTCCTTATTTCCATAGCTCAGACACTCCATGCCATACATAACCACTCCTTACTTTCACGGCTCAGACACCCCATGCCATATAAAAAAAAAAACTCCTTACTTCCATAGCTCAGACACCCAATGTCATAGATTACCACTCCTTACCTTCATGGTTCAGACACCCCATGCCATATACAACCATTCCTTACTTTCATGGCTCAGACACCCCATGCAATATATAACCACTCCTTACTTCCATAGCTCAGACACCCCATGTCATAGATAACCACTCCTTACTTTCACGGCTCAGACACCCCATGCCATATAAAAAAAAAAAAACAAACTCCTTACTTCCATAGCTCAGACACCCAATGTCATGGATAACCACTCCTTACTTTCATGGCTCAGACACCCCATGCCATATACAACCATTATTTACTTTCATAGTTCAGACACCCCATGCAATATACAACCACTCCTTACTTCCATAGCTCAGACACCCCATGCCATATACAACCATCCTTATTCAGTTCATATTCCATTAATAAGAAGGTACTTCTATTCGGACAGCTTCTTCGCAAGTGCTGCTACTTTGTGGAATAGACTCCCGAGAAAATGCTTCCCTGGCTACTATAATATTGACCCCCTCAATTCTAAGGTCTAATGATATCTATCCTACCTATCTTCTTAATCTACATTGATTAGATTGATTAGTTTTTCTTACCGCTTATCAAACTTTGCAGGCTATTTTAAACCAGAAAATTATTTTTAACTTGTTAGAATGTCTTGGCGCTGATAATGATTTACTGATACAGGTCTTACTAATTAACCCATAGCTGGGAGGGAGAATAGGTGGATTCATACCTTTAACTTGTTATTTGCGTGTAAGTGAATATAATGAACTCAACTGGAATTGTAACTCTGCTCTTCTATTTCCAATTCCGAGCCGTTATCCATTACATCATCCACATATGGAAACTTACAGCACCTGGTATTGCCAAGAGGTCACCCATCTATGTACTAACCAGGCTCGTCATTGCTTACCTTTGGTCATCGCACGAGAACCGGTGTTTCCACATGATATGGTCGTAAACCTTTTTTGTTTTAAATAATTCAAACAAACCCCATTCAGCAACGCTTCTACCTTGAGTGGCTCTCGGGCCTTATATTGAGTGAAGTGTAGCGTAAAAAGAATGAAAAATATTAGAATGATGCCGAATTTTGTTAAATAGGCATTATGGTAAGGAACTACGAATTTTGAGTTTCGCTGTTCAACAAGTTCTAACACGTTGAATCAACTCTACCCAGAAACCTATAAAATCCACTCCCGTCACTTAAAAGGTCCACTGATATTTAATGCATTGCAATTGGCAAAAGCCTTAAAACGCGAACTTCATTTATACGGCATAAAATAAACACTGGAACTAAAGAAGAGTGTCCATCAATTTCATATTTTCTGATGTTTCGTTTACTTGCGATTGCTCTTGATACGCCGATTCCATCGATTACATTGATCTGGACTTGATTATACGCTGGAAAAGAAATCAATCATAAAACGAAAGATTAAAGTCAGTGTTTGGCGCCCTGGGCTATTGCCCTACTATTAGTGACGATTTGAAAGTTGTTATTTTGATAGTATAAATGATCACTTGTTATGGTCTAATCAGAGATTAGTTAGTTGAAATCTGTTGGCAGAATTGTGTGGTTATTATGGGGAAATGAAAGACTTGGTTGAATTTAAACCGTCATTTGATAATAATTAGATAGGCTGCCAGTTTAGTGAAAAAAAGCCAATTAATGATGGCTATAGTTGGCTTTTTTCACACCTGTTTATTAAGAATTATCGGCGGGTGGCCCGTTATTATGTATTTCTATGACTAAAAACAAACAAACAAACAAAAAAGAAGTGCAGATACTGAAATAGACATTTATTTCTTAATATTTTAGACATATTTTATGCAACAATTAAAATCCTTTTTCGCTGACATTTTAAGTTTAATTCTGATTTCACTTTACATAGATACGCATATGTATGTGCGTGAAATAAAAAAATACATTATTTCTTTTAAAAATTGCTTTGTTTACCCTTCGAATACGAAAAAGTTATGAACTTTCTCGAGTCTAAAACGAGATGGATCTTCTTAAACACAATATACAACCTTTCGTATTGGACAATGCTCTTTGTTGCCGACTCGCGCGTCGGATATAACGACAATTTCTACTGCAAATGGGGACGTGAGTTCGGCTACTAATGGGGGCGTGTTTTTCTTTTATAAGATTTTTCGAATATTTAGGTCTGTAGATGAAAATAAAATAATGTTTAAAAAATAAACGAAGGGTCTACTCAAATATAGGTATTCACTAAAAATAACGTTTAACGTGATAAAAAATACGTCAGATTAATAAATTGAAAAAAAAATATACTTCTTTAGAAATTGCTTCATTTATGTTTTGGATACGAAACTGAATCGATCTGAAATTTTGGGAATCTGCCGTACCTTTGTAATCACCATTAGACTCTTTCTGAATCCACTGCACTCTTCTCAGATTGGCATCCAAACACACAGATATGTTCGTATTGGAGCTTAAAATATAAAATGTAAATTGTCTTATTTATCATATGCTACAGAATATCCGCAGCTCATATCATCGTGTTTATTTACAGCCTTTCAGCACAAAAACACTCTTCAAAAGACTAAACTTAGCTATTTATCTTCTAGCCGTTTGCGTGACTGTGTCTCTGTCAATAATAATGATCATCACCAAATATTATTCATGCCACAACATTTTTTATTGAGAAGAGTGCTATGTTACTTCTCCTAATAAAGTGTCATATATAAATATTTAACTGAAAAAGACGACACGTCTAATTACTCTCAGATTAGGATCGACAATACAAAATTCAAAATGCAATAAAATGAGGCTTATTTCAAAGAGGTCAAATCAAAATCCATAAAAGGTTTCTGGTTTGGAGTACATGAATTAAAAACACACATTTAATTTTTTTACTACGTGACACTAAATTTTATTCTACCCCACCATGTCTTGTCTATTTTAAAGATTTGATAGTTACCAAAAAAACATATCACCCGACCTTGCAATAACTAAAATGGCTATTGAATCATCGAGAGTTCTTCCACCCTTTGTTAAGTCTTATTTTTCGTCCTACTCGTTTCACTAGTAAGAACAAGGGTAACCAGTTTAGCCACCGTCACTCTGACACACACACACACACACACACACACACACACACACACACACACACATATATATATATATATACATATATGCGCAGTATTTGTAGAAAAAAGCTCAACATTTGTGATATTACTAATATATTTAGTTGCTTGATATTAGTATATATATATTAGTAACCCTAGGTTTCACGCTTTTGCGATCCTCAGACAAACCCAAGAGTTTCTCTGATGATCACAAAAGAGTGAAACCCAGGGTTACAAACTAAAATCCATTAACTGAATATATATATATATATATATATATATATATATATATATATATATATATATATATATATATATAGGCACGTCACTGAGTGGTTAGAAGGTTCGAATTCTGATCATGAGACCAGGGTTCGAATCTCAAAATGGTCGATTTATCAAAAGAAACTTCCAGATGTTTTCGGGCTGGAGGGGGTCGATCCCAGCGTGCGGCACATTGGAAAAGTGCCTGAAAAAACCATACCACGGGTTGGCCCAAGCCTTGTGATTTAAATTCGGTAGCCGTCGATAGCTGTGATACCCAAGTCATCGTGACCGAGGTATTGAGCGTGCTGGCCTTGTTCAATTTGTTGTTCACACTAGATAACGCGCTCTATTCCAGAAACTGTAAATAAGGTCTGCTCACCATAGTTGCAGTATATTCCACAGGTGGTCGCTGTGGGTGTTGAATAAACACAAATGAGCCTGAGCAAGCGTCTGCAATAGGGATCGGCTAGCCGCCCTAGTAGACGGGTATCCTCGAATACGTTTGGCCAGCTCTAGTACTATATATATATATATATATATATATATATATATATATATATATATATATATATATATATATATATATATAAAGAATAAAAAATATTAAATTAAAACATTACATCGGAAAGTAATTGAATTCACCCATTTTAAGAATGGCATGTTCCTATGGAACAAAAGTAGATATGCAAGTCGACACAATAGAGTTAGGATTAAAATGAACAACACCTTATCACCGCGGAAGGATTGAGTGACAGCTCGGGCCTTCTTTCCTTCTCTTTTTGGATTTGTCGGTTCTATATTATTTTTATGTTCTGTTTTTGTTTTGTTTTTTTTAATTATTGTGGGGACCTACCTACAAATGGACTCTTCCACACCTATATAATATGGCTACCAACTCTGAGTAAAGAGAGTCACCAAGTGGGGGTCACCGAGTGGTAGCCATAGAGTGAGTGAGTGAGTCAGTCAGTCAGTCAGGACACCAGTGAGAGAAAGTACTCTCCAGTCCACATTTACCTTTGTACTACGTTTCCAAGAATATACCATTTAACCGTATATCCGAGTCCGTGTTATCTTTCTATGGTTCTATACCATAACATAAATATAGAAAAAGCAAGAAATACCCACTCTTTGTAACTGCGTTTTCATAATCCCTTGTAAGTTGCCGCCAAAAACCTTTTTTTTTTTTTATTATTTCACTCCAAGCAAGGCGATAATCCCACTAGGGTACAGAAGTTTACAGGGGGTGAGGGAGAATTTATTGAGAAGAAGTAAGGAAAATGACAAGAAAGGAACAGGTTTCAGCAAGACAGATGATAGCGATTGACGCTGCATTCAAATCTTTGAAGACTGTAGGTGACAGGAAAGCAAGAAATCGGAAATAATTTCCACAGTCGAAAGGTGCAAGGAAAGAAAAATATAAAATAGAACTGGCGGCTGCATCTAGCTAGTTCAAAAGTAAAACGGTGAGACCTAACTGCCAATCTAGTAGCACGCTTAAATTCAAGCAGTCGCGGTACTAACGGAGAAAGCTCATCAGAACAATTAGCATGAATATGTATGTAGAAAAGATAGAGGGAAGCCACGCAAGCCAGTGTGGAAGTAAGTGAGGTCATGATGCCAAGTCAGGATCGATTACATTACAGACCATTCTTGAATTTTGTCAAGGATTTCGAGATATATAGTAAGAGCACCAGACCTGATATTGCAGCAGTATTCAATGCATAGACGAATGGTAGATTTATAAAAGCTCAGAAGGATTCTTACTAGCAGAATTGTCTGGTACGACACAGTGAACCACCTTCTCTCACAGTAGACCTAACAATACAGTCACTCACCTTCAGGTCACTGGAAAATGCCAGACGACACGAACATTTACTCACCTATAGTTTAAAATGATTCTTGCTGGTGGCAGGCAGAAAAGGTTCTCTGGTCTGATTAAATGAAAGTTTTGTTTTAGAGGCGTTAAAATTTACAAGCCATTCTTTGACTCTGCTAACCATTGATTGCGAGAGCAGTTGTCAGTTTTAATTTGTTGGATCTTTCTAAGCGAAGAGTAAATATGCAGATATATCTAGTTGAGGATAGAGGCCCCGGGTCACCTGCAGGAAATAATCTAGAAGCGTGTCCGGAACGGTTGGATTAAACCAAATATTCGTCCTTTGAATTCCTTGTCTTTAACCTTGTGCAGAAGGCGAACATGCCAAATTCTGTCGAACGCCTTTGAGATATTTAGAGCCATACCCGAGCTACGCCGTTTTTATCTAAAGCTTGATAGACAAATTCAGCGATAGCCGTTAATACATGTCAGTAGAACTGGAAAAACGGAAGCCATATTGTTTATCCGAAAGGAAGCCATGTAAATTAAGATGCTTAATCAATTCGGCGTTGATTAGAGCTTGTAACGCATTGCCAAAAATGCGTAAGAACGAATAGAGAGGTAATATGAAGGATCAGAAGGTTCCTTTCCTGGAAGTTCATAAAACAGGAACTAGTGAGGACTACCAACTAGGTGGAAAGTAAAAATCAGTGAGACATTTATTGTAAAGTTTGGAGAGAATAAGAGCCAGATCTGGAACTCATTTCAGTAAACATGGACCTTCGTAACCG